GCAGCCTCGACCCCCTCTTAGCCCCATGCCACCCCCGGGGGCCTGGGCAGCAGCAGCTGCTTGCAGAAGTCGAGGTCCGCAGAGCCGGGGAGCCGAGGACCCTGTGGTTCCCTACACCCCCAGGAGGCTGAGGCAGTGCCCGCCCAGCCCAGAGCCGGAGGGGGCCTCCACGCCCAGTGCCCCGGCTCCACTCTGCCTGTCCCCCGGCACCTCTGAGTCCATCCTGCCGCACCTGAGCAGTCCACGCCGGGAGACCCACGTGCCCAGGACCGTGCGCAGCCACCTGTGGGGTCACAAGGGCCCGGTCAATGGCATCCAGTGGTGCCCAGTGCCTGCCAGCAGCCAGCTGCTCCTGTCGGCCTCCATGGACAAGACCTTCAAGGTAGGGCCCTGTGTGGTGCTGGGAGTGACTGCCATTCCAGAGAGGGCTGCCCCTTGAGGGTCCGGCTTGTGGAGCCCAGCCTTTCCTGACCCTGGCTCCTCCAGTCACCGGAGTAGAGCCAGGGGACGGAATCTTCCTTCCTAATCCCGTTATTGTTATTGGCTTTGTGGTTTTGGTGACAGGTCTCCACTAGGTAGTTCAGCCCAGCCTTGACCATGTAGGGATCCTCTTGCCTTAGCCTCCCGAGTGCTGGGATCACAGAGGTGCAGCCCCACACCCGGCAGTGGTGCTATGTCGTTTTATCATTGGATTGTTCCGAATTGGTGTCCCTGCTTCCCTATTGTCACCGTTAATAGTTTCTGACTTCACACTCTTGTATTGCTGCTGTGTACATTTTTATTTCCCTTCCTGTGCCTGATATTTCTTTAGGATCCCCAGGGGCTGGAGGCCTGGGGTTTGGTAGTGTCCTGAGTCCTGGGACCCCACCTGCAGTCTGGTTAATCCCTGCTCCTCAGGAGGCAGGAGGGACATGAGTTTGAGGCCAGCCTGGGCTGCTACTGGGACCTGAAACAAAAAAGCGCACACACTTGCCTGTAGCATGGCGTCCATTGCTAGTGCAAGCAAAAAGTATCAGAAAAGGGGAAGAGAACCTGCCTCAACCTGCCCCGCGCTCAGACCAGAGACTGTTGTCTCTCCGTCTTGATCGTGCGGGGCCGAGGGAGACTCAGCAAGGAGGTTCTGATAAGTGTTTGGAAAAAGGGTGGGAGGAGGGTTGTTCTGTTGAATTCCACACCTGCGGAGCCTGACATTTGTTTTCAAGAAATGCAGCTTCAAGGCAGGTGCGGTGGCGCATGCCTGTGATCCCAGCATTCTGGGAGGCTGAGGAAGGAGGATTGCAAGTTTGAACCCAGCCCTGGCAACTTAGTGAGACCCTGTCTCAAAGTAAACACTTAACAAAGGAGAGGCAGTGTCCGTGTTCTGTGTCCCGTGCTTGGTGATACTGGCAGCAAAGTCAATAAAAGGGTGGTCTGAGCAGCGCAACTCTGTAAACAGAGAAGCCGGCCGGGAGGCAAATAGGAGTGTTTGTGGAGTGGCTCCCAGACCTGGCTTCGCATCAGCTCTGGGGTGGCGTGGCCTGGCCTTCCCGCTGCTGTCCCCGTCAGCCTCTCGGCCGGTGTGCTGTGCCCACCGGGACAGGTCCCAGCAGAGCTCCCGCATCCTCCCCCCTGCTCCGGGGCTTTGACTGGCTGTTAGGTGTCCAGGCAAGCTGTGCTCCTGGGCATCTCTGACGCTGGGCTCTGACGGCTGCCCAGGAGCCCACCCTGGGGTGGAGCCTTTTCTTTTTAGATTTAATTTTCTTTAGTCCACGCCTGCAGCCCAGGATGATCACCTTCCTTGTGGGGAGGTGGCACACGTGCATGATGCATCTTTGTTCCCTCAGGTCCCCTCCCCTCCCCATCTTTGTTCCTTCCTTCATCCCTTGGTCCCTTCTCTTTTGCAAAAATCTATCTTCCTGTTTCTGGTTACCTATTTTTTATTATACTTTTTATTTTATATTTTGGGTTTCTTATGTAAGGGAACTGTGCGCTATTTAACTTTGTCTTCTGAGTTGTTTCATTTAACATTATGGTCTCAGGGTGCACCCATTTTCCCACCAAAGACTCCAGTCCATTCTTTATGCCCTTGAGCTTAGCCAAAAGGCTGAGAAGTGATTATCCTTCTTTATGGTAGAGTAGTACTCCATTGTGTATAAATACCACATTTTCTTTATCTAGTCACCTGTTTTTTAAAATTAATTAATTAATTAATTAATTTTTCCATACTGGGGATCGAACTCAGGATCTTGCGCTTGTGAGGCAGGTGCAGTGCCACTGAGCTACATCCCAGCCTCCATTTATCTATCCATCTGTTGACGGACATACAGGTCACTTCCAAGATTTAGCTATTATGTGTTGTGCTGCTATAAACATGGGTGTGCTTGGGTCACAGTGACGTGATGTCTTTTGTTTTTGTTTTTTCAGACAGGGTCTCACTATGTGGTTGAGACTGACCTGGAACTCACTATGTAGCCCAGGCTGGTCTCGAACTCACAGCGATCCTCCTGCCTCAGCCTCCCAAGTGCTGGGATTACAGGCGTGCACCACCCTACCCGGCTGTGATGTGATGTCTTTAACTGTTTTGGGAAGACACCTAGAAGGGGAACAGCTGGGTGAACAGGATTTCATTTCAGTTTTTTGAGGAATTGCCACACTGATGTCCATAGTGGTTGTACCGGTCTGTGTTCCCACCACCAATATAGAAGGGTCCTTTTCCCCCATGACCTCGCCAGCATTTGTTATTGTTTGATTTCTCTGTGGTGGACATTCTTTCTGGAGTAAGGTGGAATCTCAGTGTTGTTTTAATTTGCATTTCTCTAGTGGCTGTGATGTTGAGCATTTCTTTTGTTTGTTTTTTGGTACCAGGGATCAAACTCGTGTCTTTGCGCTTGTGAGGCCATTGGAGGCACCATTGAGCTAAATCCCTGGCCCTGTTGAACATTTCTTCATGTGTTTATTACCCAATTGCTCTGCTTCTTCTGAGATTCATTTGAGATGCCTGTTTTTTGTTTGGGTCTTGTATTTTTTGGGGGGGGTTGTACTTCTTTTTAGTATTTTATTCTAGGCACAAGCCTCCTGTCTGAGGAATAGCTTGCGAAACTTTCCCGTTCTGTAGGCTCTCTTCACTCAGCTGGCTTCCTTTGCGTGCAGAAGCTTGTTAATTTGCTGTGATCCCGTTCCCATTCAGATGTTTGTGATGTTTTGTGCAGCTGGGGTTCCGTGGAGAAAGCCCCCTGGCTTACGACTTCCGGGTTGTACCTGGTTTTCTCCAGGGCTGGGTCTCTACCTGCTTGCTGAACTGAGGTCCTGGTCTTTCAGCCCGGGGCCAGCAGGGGGCAGAGCCACCTGAGGGGTTGCTGTTGTCCCCGATTGTCTCCTTGCTGACATTCCCTCCCTGGGGCTCTGGTGCCTCCCTCCCTCGTCCTGTCCAGATCAGAGTTCTCCCTGCGGGGGGGGGGCCCAGCCGAGGGCGCTGTCCCTCCTTCCGACCCGAGGGAGCCCAGGGCGCGGGGTCTAAAGCCTGCTGAGCGCGGAGCACATCCTGGTGTCTGAGCTCAGCACTGCCCCCAGGCAGCGAGGACCGTGCGGGCTCTGCCTGGAGGAGTGGAGCGGGAAGCCGGCCCCGCTTGGGCAGTTCCAGGCTGGCCCTAGGATCCGAGTGGGGTTTGTGTGGAGTGGCTTGCCTACCCCTGTCCAGCTCTGGGGGCCACCTCGGGGAGGCGCTGGAGGTGACCGCGTACAGAGCAAACCCGTCACGTGGGCTGGGGCTGAGCCTCCTGACCGTTTTCTTCGGGGGTGTCACGAAAATCAAGGCTCTCATGAGCCACAGAGGCGGGGTGTGGGCTGGAGTTCTCCGTGCTTTGAGCCAGTCTAGTTTCCAGTGCCCAGGGTTCTTTGGCAAATAGGCTTTGGGCAACGTGGACACCAAGAATTCAGTTTGGACCCTCCCCCGGTTTGTGGAATTTTTTTTGACAGGGTCTGGCCATGTAGTTCAAGCTGGCTTCAAATTGAAGGTGACCCTCCTGCCTCATCCTCCAGTGTGCGGGCATGCCCAACTGTGTTTGTGAAGTGGAGATGATTACACATGGCTTTGGTTTTGGGGAACAAACGGCTGTGGGTTCCCCGGGGCGGTGTCAGGTGCGTGGCTGGCACCCGGTGCTGCCCCCTTCCCACCTCCAAGTCAGACCTCCTTGCCACGGGAGTAGCTGCTAGGCTCCGCGTTTCCTGACTAGGGGAACCATGCCAGGCCCATTTTTAGATCCTCCGTAGCACCTGGCACAAAATTTTGTACACGTTAAATGATCAATAAAGAACTAAACACTGTCTGGGTTTTGCTGCCAGGCTTTGGGAAGGGATTGAGTTTGCCTGCACAGCTCCCGTGTACCGCTGGGGGGCACTGTAGGCCTTCGCATCGGCGGCTGCCTGAGCTTCTAGAAGGGAGAAGGCCCTCTTAGGGTAAAATTTACGGAGGGATGATTTCTCTTCTGACCGCGAGAAAAACAACACAAAGCACCTGATTAATCTACAGAACGTGAAGTGCCAGTTCCTCCTCTCCTGAAGGGTAGCCTTGGAATTCATAAATTTCAATCGGGCATATTGCAGTGGAAAGATATTTATTTTAATACGCTGTAAATGTTCTGTGAGCTGTAAACTATGCTTATATTAGTTTTGAAAAATTTACAGACTGAGCAATTAAGTAAAATAAAACAATGACTCATGTTTCCGCCCCACCGCTCCGCTTTCTTGCCTGAGGAGCCTCCCTGGCTGGCTGTGCTCGAGCCCCTCTTGCACGTGCTCTTCCTTCCCAGCCAACTGACCCGGCTTTGCATCTTTGCACGCCACACACAGAGGCAGAATTCGGACTCCGATGCCTCTTTTAAAGCAAAAAAGCCAAACATGATCCCCTTCGCCCAGACACAGCCGACCCTCCTCCTTGGTTTTGCGTGGGCTCTGTGCCAGGTGGGGAGGCTTCGCCCTCGGGGACACTGGGCGACAGAGCCACCTTGTGCCTCTGACACACGCAGGGTCGTTCAGCCCAATGAAATGCTTTGCTTTATGGAACGATTTTCTCTAGGGGTGGTTTTTCAATAACAAGTTTCCTGAGAGTACTTTATTTGTGCTGATTTTGTGAGACAGGGATTTGCTATGTAGTTCGTCCTAGACTTGAACTGGCCATGAAGCCCAGGCTGGCCTTGAACTCACAGTGATCCTTCTGCCTCGGCTTCCCGAGTGCTGGGATCACAGGTGAGCACTGCTCCCTTAAAGTATTTGTAAAAACCTTTTCAGTTTTGATAGGGAATGTAATAGATGCTTATTGTAAAAGCCTTTGAAGATGAAGAAAAATGAAGAATGAAGGACAGGCATTGTGGTGCATCCCCACCCTGTCTTCCGAAGGACCCCATG